CAGTCCAAGGCCCGAACAACTACGGATGGGTCTTAGCTCATCCGCTCAAGCGAAAGGGAGCAACGGAAGAAAAGCGGCCGACCAAAGATACACCAATGCAGCTCATGCGTCTTGGCTCTCGAAAGCCCACAAACGCTACTGTTGACAGCCACAAGGGAGACATGTGGGGATATTCGGGGAATGTAAAACTACCACATGCCGAAAATGATGACAACCAGGACATTATTGCGGTGGTTATCTCGGTATTCGTGGATGGTAAAGCCATTCGTTTTGGAACCGCTAACCAAAAGTCCCACGAGAAGATGGCTAGAAGGATCAGGGGTGGGGCCGCAATTGAAGTTGTCAGTGCCTACAAGATGGTGCGTTTCACTGACTCTAGGGCTTCTTGGGAAGATTTCGTGATCTCGGCAAATGTAGCAGACGTCAGCAACCACTTGACCTTTGCATCGAAGTTCTTCACGACATTCTCTCCCTGTGCCCACGAACCTAGCCATGTCGATCATGGACAGAGAGACGGCGAAACGGGTAGAGATAGAAGAAGGAATTGGATTTCGCCGCTGCCTACGGGTCCACCGAAAGGCTTGCTGGAGATTGAGGACCAGTCTGTCAACCAATCATTCAACCACATCGACTTTGTGGCTCGAAGAAAGCTTGAGCATATCTTGTCCGTTTGCGCGATTCCTCTGCGTGACCCCGAGGAGGAAGGAGATATTGTGCCTGTCGCGTTGACATGTGGGGATACATCGGGCCACCGTGTGTCTTCCCCGGCAAGTTTGTAAGACATTTTCGCTCATCAAATGATATTTCTTCTGTTGAGACACTTTTGCTGACCCTTTGCAGTTTTGCGTTCAGTTTTCTGCTTGAAATTTCAAAGCGGTTGACCGCCGCGAGGAGCAAAGACCAATATGATACCTATGGGGAGTTGCGACAGCGAATCTACTCAGTCTGTCGCGGCCACTTAAAATGGCTCAACTCAGTTGAGAAAACGGATTCGAACTGCTTCTCGGCAAACTATTGGGTCAAGGGGAATAAGATGTCTCGCAATGAGGAAAGCGAGTCCTTTATGCCAATCGATTCCTTGACCGACACCCCATTTCAGATAATCAAGGTGTTTGAATTTGCGAGTCAATACCACGGCGAAGATGACTTGGACCTCGCGCGGGGAATCATCAAACAAGTTGCTGTTCCCTGGATCACAGCCCTCAATAAGTCCGACGTCCGCATTTCCCGTGCTTGGCCCCACTCGCAAGATGAAGGGTGCAATAAGTACAGACTTAGCGAGCATGTATGGATCTGGAGAGCACTGAAGCTGGTCGAAGGTCACTTCCGAGACTTTCCGGAAGACAAAGTTTCAGATGCTGAAGATGAGAAATTTAGTGGAGAACCCAGCCGTGGACAACAAAGCAAGGAGATTCGAGATGTCACCACGGCTCAACATGATCAGGTCTTAACAGATGACAGCCTGCTCAGAAGGTTCGACTCTCGTGGTGTTCAACGAGATATTCTTAGACGTTTCACGGCCGAGAACGAAATCTCCAAGAAAAGAATGCTGGCAATGACTCGGTCTCCCAGGGAGACGCGATTTCTATTTCATGCCAGTGATACGACGCTTTTCTATGGTATCAACAGGGATTTCTTCTTAGAGAAAACCTCACTCAACGAAGTATGGCAAAACACAATTGAGGCACAAGTTCATCACAATGAGAACTCCGAAACTGGATGGGACAACTCAATTCGCTATGCCCTGGCGATTATGCTCGGAACCAGGGACATCAGTATAAACAAGCGGCCTCCACAGGAGCTGATCAAGTCATCGTTGGAAGTTCTCTTTGGTTCTACGAGTCCGAATGGGCTATTATTCGGGCTTTTGGATAGCAACACGAAGGAATCGGCTTTATTTGGCCGAGAAAATGATCGAGACTTCTACTTCCACGCTAGTTTCGAGATCCCATATATTCTTCTCACTCATTGCTGGAGAATTCACTCGAAACTCAACACGTCTGGCACCCAGCCTGAACCTTCTTCCACGCCGCAAACAAAGGTGTTCACAACGCATGACCTATTGGAAGAGGTTGCAGACTTGAACTTGATGCAACCGAAGAGACAGCCCGCGCAGACAGACCGCATCCCCAGATTGCCTGTTGGATCGGCTCCTAGTCCTGACATGACAGAGACCCAGCTCGTCTCCACATTGCCCCAGCCAGGGGTCAAGCTCAAAGCAACCAAGGTAGTATCTATGAAGAAGAGCATTCCATTCAACAGTCTGATCGACCAAAGCAGTATTGTTGATCTGGATGAAGAATGGCTTTACAATTACCCTACTTTCTTCAGCATGGAGAAGCAGACTTCCACCAAGTTCAACAAAGAGGCAGAGAGTCTCCTTGACCGTACTGAGAGGGATACATCCGGAGCTCTCATATCCAGAGCAGCTGAAGGATACACAAGGTATCTAAGGAATGGAGAACGGCGGAATCGTCCTGCCACTGAAGCGAGAGATCCAGGAGACCCTTTGCAGCTTCTGAGTAAGACTTGGACAGACATACCTTCTCCAGATGGGCACAACGCCCTCGAGGATGAATCAGACAACATGACCTTTATTGCGGATGTTCTTAGGCAACGAAATCTCCAGAAGCACGAGAGAGAAAATAACGTTACATTCCGCGGGGTCAATAGCAACTTCAAGCTCTGGTACCTGTTATCTCTGCCTAGAACGGCTTCCAAGGCAAAGAAAAGATTCATCTGGCTTCCATCAGCCGATGATGAGAGGGCTCTCGTTTGCTACCTGACGAGCCCGCAAGAAGAAAGGCAAGCCATCTCTCTTTTCTTCGAGCGGCACCATCAATATGAAAAGCATTTTCTGGACGAAACTTCCATGGTTCTCAACACCTGGGAGAGCGAACTTCATCTAAGCTTTTACAAACTGGTGGACGAGGACTACACGCCCACTGTTGGAATTCCAAGGGGAGATGTGGACGAGTTTCCAGGGAGAGAACCAAAGTTACTTGTTAAAGCTGCCGTCGGGTTTCGGTTCATTGGAGACTTCTTTGACAGGCACTGGACTTGCCATCTTATCGAACACATCCCCGGTGGCAAGCGGGTTCCGACTTGGTGGGATAGGGAAATGCACGAGAGAGATTTTCCTTGGGGTGACAAGGGTCATCTTGTCCAAGATAACAATTGTTGGAGGCAGAGAAAGGTGCTAGAGTTGCATCTTTTTGACAGGATTTTGGAAGAACTCGTTGACAGCACCAAGACGATCTACAACACCGTCAAAGAAGAACTTGGTGTGAAACATGTTGCCATCCCATTTTCCGTTCTCAACAGCGAGGATTATTTCTCATCCAGCGAGCAATGGCAAAGATATCAGCAAATACTTCAGGTGTTGGAAGAGGATTTGTCAGACATGCGGGTCATCATATCAAAATGGGAGACACGAGAAAAAGACCGAGGTCAGGAGCGACCACGCTGGACACGCACAGATGAGAGAAAATATCGCCGATATATTGGGAAGCTTGAAGGAACTACACGTCGTCGCATTCGGGACCTGCATCGGTTGCATGTGCAGATTCAGTCACTCAAAGAGACACTGAGACGAGGCCAGCAACAAATCCGTGACGATCTCAACCTTCGTGGGTCAGAGAACATCCGCTTCTTTACCTACGTCACAGTCGTATTTCTGCCCCTGGGCTTTGCATCCAGTATTTTCGGAATGAGCGAAGAGCCACCTAGCAGTGTCATACCTCCAATGATTATCTGTTCTGTTGTTGCGCTGCTTGTCACTGTTGTCGCGTTGGCCAACGCTAAGCGGCTAAATGGAGTTGTCGAAGTTATATCAGAGAGTATAAACCGGTACTCTCTGTCGAAGATGGAAGGAAGCCCTCTCCTCAATCGTCATCGACGTAAGTTGGTAAAGACGCAGAACCTCACAAGGCAAGCCGAGGAAGCCGGGTCTGAGACCTCTGAGGGCCACTCCAAGGGCACTAATATGCACGCAACTCGTGGAATACGAGCTCACGAGGACGAACAATCTTGGCATTTTTGGTTCTGGGTAGGATACATTTTTGTTGAACTGCCAGCGCGGAGAGTCTTGATGGCATACTACGACCTGAAGCATCCAAAGTTCACCCATTGGAGCATGTACTTCCGTTTGGTCATGGGTACACTTCTTCTGCCAATCTTCCTGGTCTCTTTTTTCTTTCAATTGGTGTTGATCAATACTTTTGATGCAGTGCGGAGTATTCTGAGTGAGTACAGAACCATCTATACGTTCCTGTATCCGATGTTACTAACACAGAGGAGGCGATTTGAAGAGGCTTGTAGAGTCAAGTCTGACAGAAAACGAAGAGAATGCAAAGTTCGTGGACAGCCACATGGGCAGGCTTGCCTATCCCATGAAAAGTTACCGCCCGTACAGAAGAACCAAAGGAGACACATCCGAGGAACAGACGGACCAAAAGGACCCGCGGCAAAGTTCGTACGGAGATGCAACATCACACTACAGCGGGAAATAGTGTACCAACAACGGCGCGAGCATCAACGAGCATCTTGTGCGACCATGTAATCGTGTCATCACCTTCATCTAAGTAGAGATAGGGAACAAACGCATTACCTCCGCTCAGTGTGAATCTTTTGGCTATTCCGGAAAACCAGTTGTTGAAATCACTATTTTGCTCCCCTTTCCACATAGCGTACTGCTTACATGATACATCCAATTTGCGACGGCGTATTCGCGTAGGCTTCAATTCAAGCACAGCTCAGAGAAACTCCGCCGGCATGGCATAAGTAATTGAGCCTAGACCGCTAGGGTTTTATTGATGAGCGAAGACAATCGCAAAAGTTACTGAGTGATGCAATGATCAAGGTAAACACAACCGGCGTATCAAGCCCGCTGGAACGAGATGATAGTTTCTAGTCTGAAGGCTTTCTGCCATATACCACATGACTGATAATACATCACGTCAGCCCATGATACGAGATTGATGTCAGACAAGACGTTACACTTACAACTCCATGCGAGCGTGGAAGGTGTTAGACTTCAACTCATTGCGGACCTTGGCAAGCATGACGATGCACTCATCGCGAGTCCATCCTAAGACGTCGCAGAAGATCCTGAAAGTAAATGCCTCTGCGCCGTCCATCAATTGAATTAGATTGATAATTCCGAGTTCCTTGTAATGAGGGTCCTTGGGCCATGGTCCAATGGGCAGTTTGAACCGCTGATGCACGACGTCGGTGAAGCCAGCGTCCTCGACCCATCCTTCCAGATGAGGCCCGGGGCATGCGTTGCGGCCTATCGTTTCGCAAGCTTTAATGAATCCCTGTACCCATTTCATGGTCTCATGCTCGTCTGTGAGGCTGCCGTCGTCGGAGACGAAGCTCAGGTCGTAATCCTGGAACTCGACCCATCCACCCTCCTTTGTGTTCCTAGGCATGATGAGAAACAAGCATCCACTATCTCAACCGCTCATACTTACTCGTAGACCCGTTCCATCAGCTTTGGCCAGTCTGCAATAGCACCAAGCATGTACCTGCAGAAGATGAAGTCAAATCCATTCAAGCCGAGCCAAGGACTTTCAACGTCATCGACCTCAAAATGGACATTAGGCGGAACCCTGTATCTATCATAAACCGATGATTTCGTTTGGTGAGGTGTATAGGACAAAACCTACCAAGTGGGTTGGATAGCACTCAGATCGTTCCCGGTGATCTACCAGACGGGGCAGTCAGTTCATGTTAGAAGGAAGATCTTGGAACAAGATCTCGACTGAGGAATATGCAATGCTCACCTTGGCATTGGGGAATATTTCTGCTGCTTCAATAGCCCCTAGGAAAACGTAAGGCATTCATTGCGCGTCAACGAGGGTGATAAACTTACAGATACCGGTGCCTGTCCCAATGTCGAGGACATTATGAACTTTCTCAGCATCGATCGGAGCCAGAAAGAGCTTATTCCCAATCGCTTTTGTCATGAGCATATGATTGAAGTCAAGTCGATCCATTTCTTGCTAGAAGAGGCCGCCATCAGCAAAATTCGTCATCCGATTCTTAAGCAACTACCTCATCATTGGGGCCATAATAAGCTACTAAAGTCAGCCAATTATTCGTACAGCAAGGTGCTTTCGGTGATTGACACAGCTTCTCCAATATCAAGAACATACCTCCAGCTCGAAAAGCATGGTAACGTCTACCATTCTCCGTAGGGTAGTCGACCACACTGGAAGTCAGAGAGGCGGTGTATGAAGAACTATCGTCAAGTTAATCAACTTCTTCAAGAAAGACACTTGCATGTCCTAACATTCTATCCTCAATAGTGGAGTCGTTGTCTGGGATCTGAATAAACATCAAATCAATGGAGTGCGATAAGATTGACGTGGATGAATAATTACCGCATCGTCGACTTCAATGGCAGCTGCGAGGACCTCTTCGCGAGTAGAACCTGGGGATAGTCCACCCGCTGGTGATGCAGTCTTAGACCTATTCGGGGAGGCGCTCTTTGATTTGTCTCCTGTGGACTTCGCCTTGGGACTGCTTGTTGCGTCCGCCATCTTGTCGTTGAGGGTGTTGATGGATTTGGGAACCAAAATGGCCTCAAGTCGCCAAGCGGTCAGAACGAGGGGCAGGAGCCAACTTGTACCTCAGTAAGCGGCCCGGGAGTCTGACATTGTCGCCCGCTGCTTTTTCTTCTGCAGCTTTGTTGGTATGGATGGACAGGGGATACTGAAGACAGTCCACATCTCGTTACATTGAGTTTCGCTCATCCCCCGACGTGCAGACTTCAACCCGAGGTAGCCAATGAACAGTCTCGCCTGGCTCCAATTGCAGCTTCTCCAATTCGAGACCCTGCTTTGCTGCCCTTATGAGACCAATGACCTCTACCCGCTTCCTGTCCCCGGGCCGTCCCTGGCCTGCCTCCAAGGGTGCAGCATGACATGGGGTACGAGTCAGCTCGGTGAACATCTGATGCCCCAAGATAGGAACGGACACCGTGTCTGAGCACCAACCAGAGGGAAGAATATGGCGTCCCCTCCTACATTGCGACATGAGCTGCAGAACCGAGATACCGGGTGTCTCCGTTGAAGAGCAGACAGCTGGTGCTGCGTGGATTTTGAACGATTCAATGCGATCAAGACACCGCACAGCTTTCTTAATACTTCGAGACAACTTCTAAATTCATCTTTTGTATCACTAATTTTCATAATTATCTAACGTTCTGAAAGAACTCTTTTATCATATATAACTCCAAAGGTGATTTTTTCTCTCGCATACTTCGACCCTCATGCATGGGCGTCGAAAACAAGGGCCCAGTCTTGATGGCCGTCTTCAACAGGCAACTCGAAGCGACGAACTCCCGTTCCGGTGCACTGCTCGTAGTCAAACTTCGTATACTCGCCAGACACGGGGCTGAACCAGCTCGCAGTCACATTACAGCCTGTAAGACTGCCGGTGTCGATGTTGATGGTAGAGTTTGGAGAGTACACCATCAGCCACGATCCTTTGCTGTCGCGAGTGGCTGCGATCCGGGCGTCAGATATCCCTGCAGAATATTTAGTATTCATGCAAACTTCCTTATCGCGAGACTTTGTCGCGCTATTAGGGTACTTGGAGACGAACCAGCGTTGCCGACGATGATATCCTGAGCTGGAATCCTGTCAAGATATGTCTCCTGGCCACGGTCAAGAATAGCCTTCTTAACCCACTGAACCTCAGCTGAGCCAGGCTGCGCTATGCCTTCTGTCCAGTAGATCGGAGGTCCTCCGCCGGCGTTCGGGTAGAGTTCCGACGTCATCTGCCATACCGAGTTCGATCCGTACGTCAGACCAGCCATGCCGGCGAAAGCCTGCGCCCACTCATGGTCAGTCCACATCACATAAACTGCGCATCGTGCCTTCTTTGGAGATCAACTCACAGTGTGCCAATTTCCGATCCGGACGTCGCTGGCGTTCCAGACACTGAGGTGAGCCTTGGCATTGTTCCAGCGGCCCTCATAATGCGGCTCATTCTCGATTGCGGGACGTTTCTTGCCAGAGGTGGTCTCGCCAACGGCATACATCAGCTCGGCTGGCTCCCATCCCCGGCGACAAGACCACCAAGGAATCGGGGCGTTGGGAGGATAGTCCGAATGGCCAGACTGAGACGTGTCGAAACTAAGCCACGAGCTGTTCCCGAAGAAGGAACTTGACAGCGCCAGAGGACCGTCGGCGAACCATTGGTTCGTTGGGTGCATAGATACCATCGGCTGGTAAACAAGGCCGTTGTCGATAGGCTTGCGCCATTCATCCCCCAGAGCAGCCTTCTCACCATCCACGATGCCCTCCGCAAAGGCCTCATACACATCCGTGAAGTCGATCACTTCATACTCACCGGACAGCTTCGTTCCCCTAACACCACCGTAGGCGTAATCTCTCGCGATCGCAGTCTTGTTCTTCCACCACGGATTCGTATCCCCAAAGATGATCTTGGGCACGTACGGATACCGCTCCCCCACAAACTCTCCAAACAGCCTCGCAGCGGCCGCATCAAAGAACCCAGGAACGCCGGCATCGTTGTGCACGTACTTGCCCCACGCCGGGTGCAGCGCGATGCGGATGCCGTACTCCTCCCACGCATGTTGCATCACCTTGTCGACGAACGCCCAGTGGTCGAGGTTTGGTCGCGTGACGTCGCCGTCGATCCAGGACGGGTTTCCGAGGCGGTCTGGCTCGGTGATGCTGTCTGGATGCGCCCCGACGGCCTGAACCACATTGAAGCCTTTGCTGTGCCGGTCTTTGAAGTATGTGTCGGTTTCTTCAAACGTGAGACGGTTGAAGAGAAACCACGCGGTGTCTGCCTGCCAGAAGAAGGGCTTGTGGTCTATGGTCTGGAAGTAGTGGCCATTTTCGGAGGCGAAGAGGGCGTACTCGGGTGGAGGGCTCCATGCCGCTGCTATGCGGAAAATAATAGCCACATATGCTGCCGATATGAGCTTTCTACTGAAGGATAGCATCTTAACTGAATGTTTGAGAGAAAATAATAAGCATTCCAAGTTCCATGCGGTGCCTAGAATATCTCTGGTCGGGCCTTGAGATTGTCACCTTTATACCTTCTTAACGGATTAGTAGGCGCTACATCAGCTTAGCCGACGACAGCATGAGATGCATCTGGAGGCGATACATCGTGGGTAAACATACCTTCTGCGGCACCTCGACAGTAGTGTAGCCGCACGCGTGCGGCGCGGCTGCGGAGGCGGGATCGGCTCAGATCTGCCTAACCCGGCGACTGGTGGAAGAATGCCCTCCGCCCCTTCACCGGCCTTCCGCGGCACGGTGGGGATGGCGGGGTCACGAAAGGTCTTGAACGAACTGGTGGGAGGGTACGTCAACATTTGCGGGGTACAACGATACTCATTGGTGACGACTAAAGGCTTTTTTAACATCAATTAGGAAATTGGAAGCGTACTTGAGCTTCGAGGGGTATCTTCTCCTCATAAGGAATGTGCTCACATATCGACCTTCTAAGTATATGCGTTGGAATCAGGTGCGAATAAAGCGGGAATTTGAGAATCGAGATTATTCTTCATTCATACAATACAATGATCGATGTGTCTTCAAGTTTCGAGAGACTTGGCGTGGGTGGGTGAGATTTGACGAAGCTGGCTGCTGACCATGTTTGCGTCATCCTGTTCGTAAGACTGGTGCGCGTGTGGCACGTAAGTCTGGCGGAAGGCAGATTGCTTAAGAGCTTTGCTAGGCGATTGGATTGCTTAGTTTCATGTCAATCATCCGCACTCAGTTCTTCACTATCCCTACCATCGACTCAATCAACGTACCTGTCCTCTTCACTGTCGTTGTTACATCCCCGAGTAAGATGGCCTTCTTCGACACCATCGCAGACCTGTTTGCAAACCAGACAACTCCGCCGTCGGCCCCGAAGCATTTCTTGGCATCTTTGGGCATTCCTTCTGTCTCCATCGCCGTCCTAGACAAAGGTGATATCGAGGCGAGATGTTTTTCTACTGTTGGCAATGACGAGGAAACTCGTTTTCAGGCGGCGAGCATCTCGAAGCCCACGGCCGCCACTGCAGTCATGAGGCTTGTCAGTCAGGGGAAGCTTTCACTGGACGACAAATTGCTACACCACCTTCCGGAAGAGCTCTTTAAGAACCTCGGGCCGCCCGCGATCCTCAAACAAATAACTCTCCGCCATCTTCTCACCCACACGGCCGGGTTCCGGACTTCGGCCTATACGGGTTATGCGAACAACATGCCTTCGGCCCTAGACACGTTGCTCGACAGGAATGGTGGACATAACATTGCCGAAGGGCTGACCCTGCTGCCGGGGATGAAGCACGCATACTGCGGGGGCAACTTCGCCATGCTTCAGCTTATACTGGAGAAGATGTTTGACAAGCCCTTCCAGGACCTTGTGAGAGAGCTTGTCTTTGAGCCCCTCGGAATGTCTCACTCAAGCTATGACATGCCTGAGCATGACGACAAGGGGAACTATGCGCGTTCTTGGTGGACTGGCAATGAGCCGCATGATACCCCATGGCATCACCATCCCGAGTTCGCATCAGGTGGAGTCTGGACGACGCCAACGGATCTGTTGAAGCTTATCAGAGGCATCCAGCAATCCTTGAGGGCAGACATCCCCGAGAACGACACATTTCTCCCACAGGATATTGCTAAGGAGATGTTGACCCAGGTACAACAGGGCATTGCCATCTCATGGTTCGTGTCGAGGCACAAGAGCAACGTCTTTGGCCACTTTGGTGGCAACTCGCCCTGCTTCAGATGCTACGTGGTTGGCTTTGCCAACACAACTGGAGACGTCGATGAGAAAGACTTGGAAGCAGATTGCGGTATTGCTGTTATGACCAACGGATGGGAAGGAACTGATGTTTGCTGCCGCGTGGTTCACGCAGTATCATATGCCAAAGTATGGCCTTACATGGGCACGTTGGAGCATCTTCAGGAAGTATCCATTCCTTTCAGAGACATCAACAAAAAGATTGATACAAGATGGGAGGATTGGATTGGCGAGTGGTCATCTGGGTGGAGGCTGGAGAAGGGAGACGACGAAGATCCGCGAGCGAGTTTCAGGGAGTTTGCTGGTTTGAAGCTGGTTGCCGCCGCAGTACCTGCTGAGCGTGAGAAGCAGGGAGATTCTATTGATTTGCTTGTCGATGGATTGCGCATCATGCTGAGACTCCATTATGTGGACGCTGAGCCGGTCATCAGCCTCTGGAGCGGCCTCATCTTTCAAACCGAGACTCTTAGAAAGAGGTCGTATCTGTAGGTAGTAATTGCAGTTCTTGTGGCGCTCTTGTGGCGCTCTTGTGGCGTTGCCGTAACCTTCCTGTACTCGCCTAGGCCCTCGTGGCTCTGCTAAGTTTCCCTTCTACTTCAACCTTGACAGATCTAGGGTTACTAAAATGACTTCTACATATCAAGGTTTTGATGAACAAGTTGATTCCTGTCCGTCTGTAGAAAAGCCTAAAGAGTCTCGGCATTCTATCAAATAAAACACCAACCCGCCTATGCAATGACGGCTGAGATTACCATGGCGAGTCACGACAACAATTCCCTTATGCATTCGGCAGCATGGTCGCCTATTCTGCAGCTTCCACCCTGTCTACTTGTCGAGATATTTGACCTCCTTCACTCCAAAGAACCGTACCAGCCGCGAGATCTATCAGCCTTCTGCAGAACGTGCAAAGTCGTTTACCATCTTGGCACGCCTTGGCTTTACCGCCGTTTCCAATACACAGGTAGCGGGAACCAGTTCAGGAATTTGAAACGCTTCTCTTCCACCCTGGAGCAGCGAGACAGTCTCCGTGTACACACCGAAAGCTTAGATCTCGCTATGCCAAGCCCTTACAATATTTTCATGGATCGGAACGACTACAGACTACCGTCAAGTGTCATTCAAGATCTGCACCATCGTGGTTTCCTCGAATACACCAAAGCCTGGAGGTATTGTGGAGTTTTAGCTGCGTGGTTTGATATGGCCTACGACCTTATACTTTTCAAAACCCCCCTGTTGAAAAGGCTGTCATTACACTATTCTGATGAGGCCAGCGATATGGAGGACAACATGAGAGCTAATTTCAAGAGAAGGGCGCTGCTGCATTCTCACTACCATCGACGTCTATCTCAACTAGAGGAGGTGAACCTGACGCAGCCTTCGTCAGCCCGGCATGACAGTTTCAGTACCTCGTATTTATTTTTCGAATGGATGTCTTTCATGGCACCAAGTCTGAAGCGCCTATCATTCAACGTCGGTGTTTGGGACCCAAAGGATGGGCTGCCGCAACGAGAGCTTTCCTTCCAAGCTCTAACGCATCTGAATCTTGGAAAGTCTCGCATCCCACCTGAGCCTCTGAAGTTGATTTTATTCTCATGCAAAGCGCTCGTGAGTTTCCACTTCATGCCAATAGGATGCCGCTTTACAGACTTTGACGATATTTGGCATAATGACGTGCGCACGGCGCAGCCTAATGACGTACTCGAAACTTTGAGGTCGCAACAAAAAACTCTTGAATATCTTAACCTTGTCATGGTGGGTGCAAAGCTCCCACACGGCCCAAAATCCATTCGAGAGAAAATGATCTCAATGAATGTGTTCGAGCGTCTGAGCCACCTGACTCTGGATACCTGTTGCTATCATTCAACAGACTCTTTGTCAGAACTCCTACCGCCAAATCTCAAATCCTTTCAGTTGATTGGCATGCACCGAACTATGCATGAAGAGCTGCAGGATTTAGCCGATTCTATTTCGAGGCGACGGCTTCCTCATCTTCGAAGTGTCACTCTTTATCCGTGGCCTTGCGCTGCTCTGAGTTGTACAGATATCACGAAGCTGAGTCGCATCAGGGACACTTTTCGTCGAAAAGAAGTGGTTTTCTCCTGCTCCCACATACATACTCAGTTACAAGTTGGGGAGCTGAACAAATGGATCAGGCATGAGCTAGACCATTACCTTGCGTATCTTTCTAGTGAAGACTTGGATCATGATATAAACAATTGGCTAAATGATCACTGGGATAATTTCTGGAATGATAGGGGATGGCAGTTTGATTCTAATGATGGATAGAAGTTTTACGAACATGACCTGATGTCGAATAAGCAAATTACTTGATAGTTTTAATCGAAGCTTTATTGATTTCCTTTGAATTGATAGCAGGCGTGTTCCAGTATTGCGGATACTTCAAACCTTTGCTAATTGCCAACGAGGAGCCTGGCGGTACAGTATAATCCAATCTGTACTTTATTAGCCTCTGAAAGCTGTATTCCTTCGACATAATGTACGAGAGATTGAACTCACTAACCGAAACGTGTCTCTTAATTCAAGCCCAAACGAACAAGAACAAGGGTGGTCGACCTATGAGCATGTGAGAAAAGAATTTCCCCGTGTATGCATTCAAGATTGTGAAAGGTGAGGTATTCAAGGGAGATGTTTGTCTTGTCTGGATTATGACTCAACCTGTCAGGCGAACGGATGCTCTGTTTCAAAAGCCACCAAGACATCAAGGTGACTGAAACTATTAGGCTTTCTCCCTCCCCTCTATTTTAATTTCACGCCCGGATCGAAGATTGAAGAAAAGGTTGCTATAAAATTTCTTTCCGGCCTTTTCAGTTTCTGAACATCTCCCATCTCCAATATTCGAATTCTCGTGGATGACCCAACCCTAGGCCTCGTTACGTACTCCTGGGCGCCACCAACAGGCTTGTTCTCGTATCCCATATTCCTCACACGCATCCATGGATATGAGACTTACTAAGAATTTTCGGTCCTTCACCTTTCACATCGCAAATGAAGCTCGCGGGACGCCGGCAAGGCCGAGGCAGAGTCCAGAAACCAAAGCAAGACAGGGTCCAAAGCTCAGCTCAACGCAAGTCTGGCAGAGGATCCGGAGGGAGTGCTCGAGACAGAGTCACAGGTTGCAATTCCCAGCCTGAAGAAGGCTCAGACCGCCTCTCATGCTTGCCGACCGAACTTTTGTTCATGATCATGGATGATCCAAAACGTTCGCAAAGGCTTTCACAGGTTGCGGTCTCCCTCTGTCGTGTCAGCAAAAGGTTCAACGACCTCATAACCCCCATGATGTACCGCAGTTTCAGCACGATCGACATTACTGGACAAGATAATGAGGCAATCGTCAAGCCATTCCTGTTTCTTCGCACGATTATTTCACGACCAGACCTGTCATACCACGTCAAAAACATCTCGTTAAAGTGGGAATGGAACACCATAAGACAACCCATCAGGAAACCCGATCCCAACATGCTATGGGAGGTGTACGTCCTGGCGGGGATGCCCGACTGTCAACTTCGCATCCCTTGGGGTGTGGCATCAACTACTGCATCTATTCTGACAGAGTTGTTCCTCTTCGCACTGATGCACATCCTCCTGAGAACGGTAGAACTAGTGAAACTTGATCTTTGTATGCCAGGTCACGTACACGAAGGCATTTATTCGAGCGACGCAAAGATTTTGGGTCGGACGGATTTGGGTACTTATTTGCCAAAGTTACGCCAAGTCTCTTGCGCGGATGACAGCATGCTTCTCCCCTTCATATGTTCTTGGGCGCCAAACCTTCAAGAATTAGATCTCAATAGCGTACATCTGGAACGAAGGACCGAACTAGGTAACATGAGACTCCGACACCTACGTCTGAGAAACCTTCGACGGCTAGACTTGAACTCCATGAGCATAAACAACCGTTCGCTGAGGGAACTCCTATTGTTGTGCGGGCCCCTTCTGAGCTTCAAATACGACCCCAAAACGGAAGCTCTGTCAGATGAGGTCTTCCTATTCAAAATGCAACATTTCACGTCTTATTTCGAGGAGGAGCCGAGAACGACAGTGCCAGGAATTCTGGACGCTCTGGCAGCGCACAAGTCAACTTTAGAAGAGCTCACTATACATATGGGATTTTCTCTGTCCCAGACTAATAGCCTCTCTATTCTTGCTCTCGATCTGACAGGATTCGAAAAGTTGAAGATGTTGAGTCTTGACACGTCCTCATTTGAGCCAGTCAAATGGTTGACCAACATGCTGCCAGGAAGCATCGAGAGTTTACGCCTTCTTAGAAAGATTTCCTGGTTTCTCGATGGCTCTTCGGTTCATGTGAACAGCATGCGAGACCAGCTTCTGAGATTCACGGAACGCCATTCAAGATTCCCGTTGCTGAAGAAAGTGTCGTTTGGATCCAGACAAGGAGCAAAGCATCACGGTGTGTCTGGGATTGAGGATGACTTCCGTCGGATTGGGGTCGAATTCACAAGTTTTGAATTAGAATAGTGACAGGATGCACGTGGCAAGACGCTGATCCAATTTGGAAGTCATTTATTGTTGTACCCGAGGTCTCCGATGCGATATAATACGAACTAAATCTTGGCTAATGAAATACTGTTCCATTCACTCTGCACCGCCTGCCACCGATTGACATGCCACATAAGTTTCACTCTACCCTCCGAGTACTGAAATCCTGTATAAACGGACCGAGATGACCGGCGTATGCGGCACTACATGATATGACTCTCCAAGATGCAACTGCAGCGTTGGTATTCAGACTGGCTACTCCCGACGAGAAGGGTCTCACATCCAATCATAACGCAGTGGCATGACCATTGTAAAGACCCCTCTGGCTACATCATAGCATCTTCCGCTCATTTAAACAATAAAATACAAGAATTCTCGTAACTATCTTTGGGTGCACCTAGTCCCACTGCTTGAGGAACTCTTGAGTCTCAACAAACTTCTCCCGGATGACCTCAGCATGCCTCTCGCTCCGTGGGACAAAGCGCACTCTGAAATCTTTGGTCGCATGCACGAAGCCTTCTTCGTAGAACTCATAACTCGTATCCAGCTCGCCATCCTTCTCAATTTTGAAAGCCCAAAGCATCTGAGCGACACTTCGCCATTGAGTCCGCTCGGCCATGTGGATACCAGGACACATGCGCCGCCCAGCACCATAGGTGTAGTGGTCGCGCTCATCGTACGCCGGCGATGCAGCGAGCTCGGAAGCTAATTTCGAGGCCGAAGCAAGGTAACGGTCTGGGTTGTATGACTCAGGGTCATCAAAGTGTTTGCTATCGTGATTGAGAGCGCTGGGCGGGATCATCACGACGCTACCCTTTGGGATCAACATGCCCTTGTACCAGGCGTCTTGCTTGGCGAGATGGGGTACGCCGGTTGGAACACTTGAATAGATTAGTCTCACGGGATGCTTATTCGGGCTTCAGGCGAACTTACACTGGTCTGATTCGCAGGGCCTCTTTGATGATGCAGTT